AGGAAGGAAGGAAGGAAGGAAGGAAGGAAGGAAGGAAGGAAGGAAGGGAGGGAGGGAGGGAGAAAAGGAAGGAAGGAAGGAAGGAAGGGAGGGAGGGAGGGAGGAAAGGATTTATTAAAGACTTACTATATGCCAGACGATGTGCTAAACTTTGGGGATATAAATACAAGCAAAAAGGACATGCCCTCAAGGAGCTCATATTCTAATAGGGGAAGACAAACCACAAAAGGGAACCAGAAAGCATGGGGTGGGGGATGAAGGTGCCCCACACTGGGGTACAGTTCTGAAATGCAGAGGAAGTCAGGAACAGGGTCAGGAGGAGAAAGAAGGCAGACCAGCCTCTGCCCCTCCACAAAATGGAGGCTCCAAGAGGAATTCACCAATGGGAGAAGGGAAGCAGACCTTGTGTAGGGATATTCTACGGTAAATGGATTGCTGAGGGGGTAGACTGTTCTAGGGTGAAGAGACACCAGGCACTGAGAGAAGTTCCAGGAGCAGAGTTCCAGCAGTGGAAAGGACATGGTTTTGAATTCCAGAGGAAATCAGGAACAGGACCAGAAGGAAGATTGTAACATTGCTGCAGTGACTTGAAGCAGAGTTTCAGTAAGCTCCAGAACAACAGATTTCCATTGTGTGAAGGAGGCCCCCAATTCCAAACCCTGCCTTCTCACCTCTGAAGGGACCCAAGAAGGCTAGAGATTTTCACAGAGAAAAGTCAAAAAAACAACACACACACACACACACAAACCCAAAACAAGGAATTTGTCAGCCACCAGCAAGTTAATGTGACAGATAAAGAACCAGGATTCTGTGCTGGTGGAGTATGAAAGATGGATCAGAGGAGGGAAGAAAAAGGAGGCAGGAAGTCCTGTTAGCTTTTGCTACATAAGGCTGTTTACCAGGGTGGCAGCAGTGGGAGAGGAAAAGGCAGATGTGAGAGATGTGGGGGTGGGAGCTGACAACGGAGCAACTGATTGGAGATGAGAATATGAAAGTGAAAGTTTACCCTAATCAAATCAGGGAGACTACATGAGCGAACAGCAACAGAAAAAGTACCACTAGCAAGAAGGTAAGCTTAGGGGAAAAGATACTCTATTTGTCTGGGGACATGTTGAGTTTAAGATACCAGAGGGGCAGCCAGAATCCAGAATCTCAGGAATAGTAAGGACCTGAAAGGAAATCTGGTCCTACCCGAACCTAATCCACTCAGATCATACCCCACAAGGGTTAATCCAACCTTCTTTAGGGGAGCTTAAGTGAAGGAGGAATTCACTAACCCCCAAGGCAACCTGTGGACATATCTTGTGAGCGGTGAGAAATGTGGGTATAAAACACTGAAAGAAAGGGTTGGCACTTTAGATGGAGGAGTCATCTTCAAAGAGGCAGTCACAGAAGTCATGGAAATTTGCGTTGGGGCTGAAGTAGTAACCCTGGATTTGGTCTCAGAAGATCCTTTGATTCCTGGTTTGAATACATACTAGCCATGTGGTATGAGGCAATCTATTAATCCACAAGCACTTATTAAATGCCAACCACCATGTGCTGCCAGGCTCTGTGTTAGGTGCTGAGAGGCAAAGACAAAAATAAAACCATCCCTGAGCTCACGGATCAAACATTCTAGCTACTTGACCTTTCTGGGCATCATTTTTCTTATCTTTAAAATAAGGGAATGACACCGGATGGTCTCAAAGGTACTTTCCAGATCTAATTCTATGATGCTACAATCCCTAACACAGGGGTGTTCTGGCACCAAGAGCTAAGGGTTAAAATTTTCAGGGTGAATGAACATTTACACCTCAACAATTAGCAAATGCTACAGATCATGGCTTGATTTGTTTCGTTAATTGTCTAGATTTGATTAAGTGATGGAGAAAATGCAGATTAAACTTAACAGTACGTCATGTACAGTTTTTTTTTTCTGAAAATCCAGAATTACCAGCACATCCTTACATAAATCTACGATCCTGGATGTGATTGCCAAGAGAGACAGTGTAGAGAGAGAAGAAAAGAGGGCCAAGATAAGACCCTTGGGGACCACCCACTTAAAGGAGTTGATGGGGGACAAGACGACAGTGAAGAAGGTTAAAAAAAGAGAGATTAGAAAAGAAGCAAGAGGAAAACCAGGAGGTTATGGTGCCTTCAAGGCTAAAGGAGGAGAAAGAATACAAAAGGAGAAAGCTTTTCTACCTCAATTCAAAAATGCCTAACCAGAGGGTGTGCCTGGATAAATCAGCCTAATGGGCACTAAAATATCATAGGTGTGAACTCACATTCTCTACTCAAAGGAAGTCCTAGAGCTAATGAACAGACTCAAACTACACAGATACCCCAGAGAATGTAGCTAATTGTAGAGTGAGCAGAAAATCCCCCTACTCTGAGTGGGACAGAACACAGTAGTTTGGATGTTAGGAGTGAGGAGAGGTGACATGTTTACTATGATGCCATAAAGCTAAAATAGTCAAATGGGGGATGCAGGGAGAGGGGTTCAGGGCAGAAGGTAAGCCAAGGTCCCAAGATGGTTTGTTTGGGCTGGGTGTTCCTGTCATGCACCGCCTAGGATAAGGACTATAAAACATCCAATCAGTGGTCAATGATTTCCATGAGCCTTCCAGAGCTTACTCTTCCGTGAGCTCTGAATTATTTGGGAGGCTGAAGGAAGGGGATCTTGGGAAGAGCAACTAAAAGAAGAGAGAATTCCAGATTAGGTGGGGAGGGAGCCTCCTTTTGTGGAGGGATGGGCCCTGGCTTAAGAGGCAATAGGCCTGGGTTCTAGTTCTGGTCTTGCCATCAATTCACTATATAACCTTGAACAAATCACTTAACTCCCAGGAGCCCATCAGTGCCAACTATGAGGGACTGTCTGATGCTAGCTGCTGCCAAGTGAAGGTTGTGCCAACACGGGATGGGAACTGGGTATTGGGAAGTGACCAGGAGCTCTTGCTTCCGAGGCAGAGGCTGTGCTGGGCGGAGTTGTGGCGTACTGGGATGGGATCTGGATTCGGAGAGGTGACCAGAGCTCACGCTCCCGAGACTGGAGCGGTGCTGGGTGGAGCTGTGACAGGCTGGGGAGGAAGCGGGGTACAGGGAAGTGGCCGGAGCGTGTGCTCCTGAGGCAGGGACTGTGCCACTTGGAGGGGGACGGCAAAGAACAAGCTCTCTCTGTCTAGCCTCCTTCTTTAGGTACTATGCTGACCCCAGACGCCTCCTTCCTGTGACCAAACCTGACTTCCTGAGTCATATATGCTCCCTACGTGCAGCACTGACCCCAGACACCTCCCCCCGGTATCTGGACCCGACTTCCTGCGTCACGTACATTCTCCTTTGTCTATGCACTGATCCCTCACGCCTCCTTCCAAATATCTGGGTCCCACTTCCTGTGCCACATATGCTCCCTTTGCCTGGACACTAGCGCTGGACATCCCTTTTTGATATTTGATCCTCGACGAGTCACTATGGGCGGGCTGAGGAGGAGGGACGAAGAAGGTACTAAAAAGAGCTGCAGGGAGGGGGGGTGAGGTCGGCTTTTGCTCCTGCTCGTGCGTGTGTGCCTTCCTGCCTGGCCTTGCTGTGATGACCATTGAATAAAGTTCAGGTTTTTGCACCCCCTGGTCGGCTCGTCTCTGGTAAATCCGGGTGACCCCGAAGACCGGTGAGTATGACCCTGGTTGCCTGATCAGGCTGTAAGAGAGTGCGCGGTTTGGACTGGCACAGCCAACCCTTCCAATTCCTTTAGGATCATAGAATTAGAACAGGAAGGGGTCTTAGACAAAACTTAATTTAACACACTCATTGAAAATTATTCTTAATTCCATTTTATTTTATTTTCAGGTCTGCATTCTCTCTCTTCCCACTTCCCTCTCTTCCCTCTCCCTCCCCTGCTTTGAGAAAGCAAGGAAAACAAAACCTGTTACAAACATGTATAGTCAAGCAAAACAAATTCCCATATTGACCTTGTCCAGAAAAAAGATATGCCTCCACCTGTGCTCCAAGTCCATCCACCTCTCTATCTGGAGCTAACACACTCACTTTACAGATGCAGAAACTGAAACCCAGAGAGGTCCAGTGATTTGTCCAAGGTCACCTAGAGAAACAAATAACAGCAGCGGGGTTTGAATCCAGCTCTAAGACAAGGTGATCCACAAAGATGAGGCTCTGAATGGAACCCACAGTTTGATGACCATCCAGTCACTCTTTCTCCCACCCTAAGATGTGCCCTGACCCTGGCCCCATATTAGGGAGGGCAAGATGGCAGTCCTTTTAGCCTCAGGAGGAGGAGGTGCTATTATTCACTATGGGACCATGTGCTCCTGAAGGTCCTATCATCCCTTTTGTCTTTGCAGTAATCTAATGCAGGACAGAATAAAAATACCCTCTAACTTTCTCTAGGTAGGATTTGATGGGAGGGGGAGCTCTCATTCCTAGTGAGGAGTAGGGAGAAAGGATGAGAGGCTGAGAAAAGAGGGAGAGGGCCCAATAGGGTCTTACAGCTGGTTAACTAAACAAACTCCAAGACCCCTGTCCAGGCCCCTCACACAGGAGGGCCTCCTTCCTTAATCCTCTCCTCTCCAGCTCCCAAATCCGTACCTTGGGAGCTCTGGTCCAACCCTCCACATTTCTGGCTTGGAAGAAGTGAACTAGGGTTGTGAATGGTGTTGCGTAGCCTTAGCACCTATAATGATGTGGCCTCTCGTTCCTCCCTGCCCAGGACGTACAGCACCATGAGGTGGTCGTGGAGTCATCTGGTGCTGGGGGTTCTGCTCGGTATAGCCTGTGGAACGATGCTAACACTGCTCCTAGAGGCTAAGTGGGGGGCTCTGAAATCTCCGGGACCTCAACTCCACCTTAAGTCCAAGAGCTCCCTGTATCCCCCAATACCTCTTCTCCCCTTGGCCTCCAATGCCCTGGATGTCCCCATGGAGAGACTCTCAGAAGAACTTTTGACCCCAGCCATGGCAGTGGTAAAATATCCCTATTCTTACCCCTTCCTGATTAACCACCCAGAAAAGTGTCAGGGTGATACTGCCCCTTTCCTGCTGATGTTGGTGATGACTCAGCCTCAGGCCAGTGAGGCCCGGGAGGCTATCCAGACCACATGGGGAGACGAAGGCATCGTGCCTGGTGTGACCATCCGTCATCTCTTTGTGCTTGGCCTGTTCCCATCCTACTTACATAGACGCCTTCAGTATCTATTAGAGGAGGAGGATGCTGAAAATCAAGACCTGCTCCAGGTGGGCTTCCTAGATACACAGAGCAACCTAACTCTCAAGACCCTGATGGGGCTGGAATGGATGGCCCGCCACTGCCAAACTGCCCAGTACGTGCTCAAGATGGATGGTGATGTATTCCTGAACCCTAGCTTCCTGGTACATCAGGTGCTTCGGCCAAAGGGGCCCCCACATCCCTCCTTCATCACTGGCTACATCTATAAGAACAGGATGCCCATGAGGAAGCCGCACTACAAGTGGTACATGCCCCGAGAGGTGTTCCCTGGAACCATCTACCCACCCTACTGCTCTGGGGCTGACTACGTGATGTCCGGCTGCCTTGCCATGAAAATCCTGGCTGTAGCCCAGGAAATCAAGGCAATCTACTTGGAGGATGTGTTTGTGGGGTTGTGTCTGCAGCATTTGAGGGTGAAAATCACTCCTAGCCCCATAGATATTTTCCATTTCTTTGGGAGGGAATATGAACGCTGTGATTTCAACCAGCTTACAATTGTCCATCCCATCAAGCCCGTGGACCTCCTCTGGATCTGGATGGACTTTCAAAAGGCCAACACCACCTGCCCCTCAAGTTAGGTTCCGGCATAGGGACCCTGCTACCCTCCATCTAGGGCCCACCTGCTCTCCCTTTCCTTCCAGCCTTTCCCACCCCAAAGGACCCCTCTCAGTAGTTCCTACCCTAATTTGACAATGGTCCCTCAGGGTGCTGATATCATCATTAAAGTTTTTGACAGTAATATCCTTTCTCCTATCCCTTAGAATGTATCAGTGGAAGCCCCCATCCTCAGAAAGTATAATCAGTATTTAATATAGAAACACCGGGAGAAATATTGGAAAAATGTAAGCAAGATGTAACATAGAAAGAGGAGGTATTAAGTTATTAAGAACCAATGAGGGGGCTCAGCCGGTTTCAAGGGAGGTAATAGCCCTGCTGTCCACTTTCCTGCTTGGACTGCCATGCATTTGGGGCAGGACATTGGCAAATAACTAATCATGCTCCAGGTTTGACCTGGCAATTAGCCAAGTCAACATTATCCCTGGGCAGGAGTTGGAGTGGATGGTCTTCACTCTCTCTACGGTAAAATCAGGAATTTCATGCCCTCCCCTTTGACCATTCCTCCACTAATGTGGTCTGTGTGTGCCTCTTTGGAAACGCTAGGCACTGCGCTAAGCACTACAAGGGGAAAAGGGTCTCTGCCCTCAAGGAATTTCATTTTGAATAAGAGGAAACCACACAAGAAAGATAAAAGGGAAGCTGAAAAGGAGGTGACCACAGGTAGTCGGGCCTGGAGGATGAGGGATGGCTAGTCTGGGCCCTTCCTCTAAGTGGAGAACGTCTGTGGTGAAGTGAAGACTGCAGACCTCCAAACTAACATTTTTAATTTTGCATCCACTTCAGTCGGCATTCATTTAGATCCACATGTGAACAAGGAGTCCTTTTGGGTCACATGACATTGGGAAGGAGATTGGAATCTTCTTAGTAATTGGAAGCATGAGCCAAATGAACAAATAAAATAGGAATTCTTATGGGAATCAATGCACGCTCTCGTCCCAGGTGCATCAGCTTTGTTGTGTTTGAGGAGGAAAAGCAGCCAAGTAAATGGCGAAGAAAGCGTGCGTGCTTCCCAGAAGGTGCCGCTTGAAGTCCTGGTCAGCATGTACTCTGCGTAAGCCACAATGGGCTAAGCCCTCCATGACCAGCCCAAAACTGTGTGCAGGCACCTTCCAAGACCCTCTGCACACACAGAGACGTGACGAGTTCGGATCCCGCCGCTCCTAGACACCCTAGTAGGGAGTCATAAGGTCCAAGTTCAGTCTGAGGTATAAACAGATACCCATAAGAACTCATAATTCTTAAAATTTACTTTGCTCAAGCCCATATTCTCATTACCATTCCAATTCCCTTCTTGACCGTGTGTGATCCATTAAACACATGGATTAAATGTCACTTAAGCAAAAAAACCAAAATTAACTATGCTGGCTTCCAGGAGCTAAATCTCAACTTCGCCCTCCTCCTGTGTGTGGTGGTTCCACAGAAGAAGCTACAGACCACATACATGGGTGGAGAGAACACCCCTCCATCATTTGCAGGATCAAAGATCAAAGGGAGGGGTAGGATTCTTGGCTCACACAATCAGAGCACCCATCTTGCTACATGGTGGGTGATGTCATCCGCCCTCGCTCTTGCAGGGATAACATTTGATTCTTGGCAAATCACCAGGTAAAAACCCTGGGTCCAATTCCGCACACTGAGATCATCCTGCAGGCTCATTGGCCTTGATGAATCTAAGGCATAGCTAGTGTACATCTCCATAAAGTGTAGGGGATCTCTTCTTTTTTAAAATGTTTTATTTTAGAATGATACTAAATAACATTAAGCAACTCTCTTTACAATGAAATAAGCCTTGCCCTTGACATTTCCTACCCTTGTCTGGTTCCTAAAAAATCCAGGAGATTATAGCTATTTGCTTGGCCCTAGGTGGGCAGGCAGCCCCTGTCCTTACTGCAGAGGAGGAAAAGTCTGATTATTAGAAAAGTCTAGGAGCATAGAAGGGGAGGATTCCCCACAGAGGACACCCCAACTCCAGTCCCTTCACGCTCCACGTTGTACGGTAAGGAGACAGAGTGTGCATGCCTCTTCATCATCTCCTCCTCACTCCTGCTACTCCAGCACTTGGCACAGTGCCTGGCACACACAAGGCACTTAATACATGTTTATTGACTGACAGACTGCTGCTCCCAGATCTGCAATTCAGCTTCTTCCCCACCAAATTGCCACAGCAGGAAACAGTTCCTGGCTGGGAAGGTAGAAGGGACCTGGTTCCAAAGCGCTAATATGGCTTCCTGTTCTTGGCCCCAGGAGGGTGTTTAATGCTGGCTTTAGCCTTCAGACAGTGGACAGTGCAGGGGTTGCATCTCAGGTCCCAGCCTGCATCTTAATCCTGACTAAAGAGGCCCCCAGTAAGGCTGGAAGACGACCTCCCCTGGAGCAGCAACAGACCTATCTCCCCCACCCACAACCACTACTCAATTCAAGAATGTCTTCAATCAATGGCCTCAGACACTCAGTAGCTTTGTGACCCTGGGCAAGTCACTTAACTCTATGCAAGTCACTTAACTCTATTTGCCTCAGTTCCTCATCCGTAAAAATGAGCTGGAGAAGGAAATGGCAAATCACTCCAGTATCTTTGCCAAGGAAACCCCAAACAGGGTCACGAAGAGTTGGACACAACTGAAATAACTGAACAACAAGGAAGTCACATAATCACAGAATTGCAGAGTATAAAGGGAACCCAGGGGCCATCTTGTCCATAAAACCCTCTACAACATCACCAATAACTGGTATGGTAGATAGAATGTTGGATTTGAAGTCAGGAAGTCCTGGTTCAAAGACAAAAACAAATCAATCCCTACCCTCAAGGAACTTCTACTTGACTAGAGGAATACAGCATGTACACAGATTTAATAATAGTTAGCATTTATGTAGCACTTCAAGGTTTGCAAAACCTTATCGTAGTTTGTTCTCATAATAACCCTAGGAGATACGTGCTACTATTATTCCCATTTTACAGGTGGGGAAGCTAAGGCAGACAGATTAAATGACCAACCTAGCATCACCCAGTGTCTGTGGCCAAATGTGAACTCAGGTCTTTCTGACTCCAGGTGCAGAGCTCTATTCATTGTACCACCTGACTCTATGATTATTACTAGATAAGTAAGTGAAAGATCATTGAAAGAGGGAAAGCAGATTAACAACTGGTTGGAGGTAGAAGGGTATTGTAGGGAAAGACCTGGGAATCCAGGGAGACTTCACAGAGGGAGTGGCCCCTGAGCTAAGTCTTGCACACAAGGATTTTTAGAGTTGGAGATAAGGGAAGAGTGTATTCCAGGTATGGAGGATATATGCCTGAAAGGGAACAGAAAACATGGGACCACATGCTTGTTTTTGAGCAAAGAAGTCACATGGTCAGGCTTGGGTCTTAGGAAGATTGGGAACTAATGAGAAAGGAGGGTTTGAAAGGGGAGGGACTGGAAGTAGACAAATCAGTTCTGGGGCTGTTCTTATGGTATAGGGGAGAAGTGATGGGATCTGAACCAGGGTGGTTGTCAGTGGAGAGAAGAGGACAGTTGCCAGAGATGTCACAGACTTAAAATTTAGTAGACTTGGCAACTGGTGAGAGAAGGGAAAAGGGGGTAGGAATAGTCAATGATGACCCTGATGTTGTGAATCTTGGGATCTGAGAAGATGTTTGTAGCCTCTGATGTGGATACAAATGGTACCCTAGAGGTTAAGAAGAATATTAAGGGTTACTTTTCCAATATTTTGTGAAGACCCTCCTGAGGAGGGTTGGGGCTCATTCTGTAGCCCACCCTGTAACTTGAGATCCTGTAACTTGAGGGTGTCCTAAAGTCTCTTTCCTCTTTATCTTGAAATACATAATACTTCTTCTTATCTTGTAAGAATTGCTTTCTTCTTCCTTATCTTGTGTCCCCCGTCCTTCCTATTCTGCCAACCATCTCCCTCATCCTGTGTCATAAAAATTCCTCCTTTTCTTGTAAGCAACCTTCTTCCTCATCCTGTTCATCCTTAATCTTTAACACCTATAAAAAAAAAAACCTAAAATTACCTCATCATCCTGAGCCTCTATAGGCTGTCTGTATAAGTCTAGTCCTCCCTAAATATCAGCACCTTTTTACTCGACCCTGTGGCTACAGGTAAAGGTCCATGTGTACTTTTCACATAAATAAAAGGAGTTCCTGATGGCTAAACGAGAAGTCGAAGTGAATTCTTTCACACCCAAACTGCTCTCCTGACCTCAACAGCCTCAGTACACAGAGCAAAAAGTGGGAAGGAATTACTAGATAATTACTAGGTTACTAGAATTACTTAATATTTTAAGGTCAGGTTTAGTGAGCTTTATTTAAGATGCTGATAGGACATCCAGTGGATTTAGCAATAACAACAGCAATAATACTAATGATAACTAGAATTTATATAGCCCTTTAAAGTTTGCAGAGTGCTTTACAAACATTAGTTTGTCCTCACAATGACCCTGTGAGGTAGGTGCTATTATCATCATCCCCATTTGTAAGATGGGGAAACTGAGGCACAGACAGGTTAAGTGATTTGCCCAATGACTTGTCACATGGCTAAGTGTCAAGGGTAGGATTTGAACTCTGGTCTTCTTGACTCTAGGTCCAGCAATCTATCTACTGTGGCACAATCCATCAATTTCCACCCAGCTGTCCTCCTGGACTTCATCACTATCTCTAGAAACTCACCTCCCCTACAAGATCACATTAGCTCTGGGAGTACAGGCAGCCACCCAGCTAAACTCTCCCAACAAATCCCTTCTAAACAATTTTAAAATAACTCTACAATCAAATTTTGGAGTGGCAGAGCCAACAAAAGGTCAGAATAAGACATTTTTTCCAGCCTAAGACAACTTAGGAGGCTGGCAGGAGAAGTTTGTAACATAGGCATTGAGGCTAGAGCGACAGGAGCAGCAGCAGTGGGTATTAGAGGAGGCTGTGAGGGCTGCAGCAAAACTAAAGGTTGAAGTAGAATCTATTATGCTTCAGCTGAAGTTAAAAAGGCAGGGGTAGAAGTCATGATCTCAGACAAAGTAAAAGCCAAAATAGACCTAATTTAAAAGAGGCAATCAGGGAAACTACATTTGCTAACAGGTGCCATAGACAATGAAGTAATATCAAAAAAATTTA